CAACCTCCTGGCCTGTAGAATACTTTACAAAAAGAGATGGTACACACAACACTTGCTCACATCTGACAGAAATACACAGATTGGAAGTCAAAAAAAGTACTAAGATGGGTGAGGCTGAGGCAGTAGCGCAGTGGTATGGTGCTTGCCTAGGACAGGGGTGGCCCTGGTTCCATCTCCAACACCAAAAAAACAAAAACACAAGCCAAGTAACAATGACAAAAGCGGAAAAAGTAGAAGAAAAGAGACTGTGACGAACTCACATTCTGATAGGGGGCAGTATTCATGAGTCTACCCTCCACCGACTGAAACTTGTATGCGGACATCTAAGTTTTTCCTCCTAGCTGATCGATCATGAATCACCCAAGCATGGTAGAGAGGTAGAGGTGGGCCTGGCAGACCTGTGCCAAGAAGTAGAGAAACGGGCGGTGGGAACCAGGGTTAGAAGAGTGTCTGGGCCCCTTCTGACCTGCAGGAGTTGCCAGCATTGCAGGCTTTGTAGTGAGACATAAAAGGATTTGAATCTCGGGGCTAATACCCCAGGGATGGCCCTCTGCAAGCCACTTAAACTCTCAATTTTGGTTTTCTTATCAGTAAAATGGCAGTGGCATTAATTGGAAAAGCACACAGTAGGAATTTAGTAAAAGGTAATTTTGATGCTTCAGTACCAGAGCTGACCTCCTGTGACCACTTTGCGCTGCTCTAGGCCAGCAGGTCCCCAGGGCACAGGTGAAGCCATCCACGACCCTGGCCTCTGGTGCCAGGCCCCAGGGTGAAACGGCAGTGGAACCTGGAGCACCTTGCTTTAAGATTCTCCCTTGAGCCAGTCTGGAATGGCACAGGGCTGCTTCACAGTTTGTAATTCATGGACCTGTAAAGCCGTGTTTAATATTAGAAACAAACACAAGGCTGCAGACCTTATTTGCCAAGTAAAGTTCTCTAAAAAAAGTCATTTAGGACCACAGTCATATCAAAGAACAACAATTTAACACCAAAAAATGTAGGACAGAAATTCAAAATAAAGGATGGTTTTAAATATTTGGATGAGTTTACCTCTATGAGACAATTCCTTTTCCTCCTCGTTCTCATTCTGCCACAAACCAGGGAAATTCTGACCTAGGCCAGCACCCATCCCTGATGGCCCCGAGGACCTCTGGCAAAGGGGAAAGTGCAGGCTTTGGGCTCAAGTGGCTCCTAGAAGATGCGACGGACAAAAGACTTAACCTGTCTAAACCTCAGTTTCTCATCCATGAAACGGGGATACTTTCGGAACAGATCTCAGGGCATCGCTGTATAGATTAAATTAGCTAATGCTTATAAAGTAATTAGCACAAGTGCTCAATAAATGATCCGTATTATTTCCAGACTCTAAAATGCTGCCAGCGCAGGGCTAGCGTCCCTCCTTATTTCACACAAGAGACCCGGTTCTTTCTCACTCCGATGCCAAACTCCTGCACTTTGACCCCCCGCCACCGCAAGTCCCTTCCTCAGACCTTCTTAGAGGTCTCCGGTCCAAGGGGAAACTGTGTTTTCTCATGTGAGTCCACTATAACTGGCTTCTGGCCATGAGATTAAAAGCAGAGGCTGATTGAAGCCCAGGACCAAGAATGGGGGCGACTGGGGATAGAGAAATGAATGGTCAGACACAGTCATAACAGCATTTCCTGAGCACTTCTGTGTCCGCCGCTGTTCCTCATATTCTCCGTGGATTAACACATATATGGCCAACATAACTCTATGAAGGGTTACTGCTACCCTCGCTTCATAGATGCGAAAACTGAGGTACAGGGAGAACGCATACCTCACTCAAGCAAGTAGTGAAGGGGGATGTGAGCCTGTGATTTAATCCCCACTTAATACTACGGTCCTCCAACACCACAGCACTCTCACCAAATCAATCCACTGATCAGATATTTAAGGGGCACTTAGTTTAGGTACACTGGGCCAGAAACTACACGGTCTTCAGGACAAAAAGAGGTCGTAGAGGAGTTTGATTAGGGTACAAAGTTCTCTGGGCACGTGTGTGTGTGTGTGTGTGTGTGTGTGTGTGTGTGTGTGTGTGTGTCGGGGGGGCGGGTAATAAGGGCAGGCAGCCTCCTCTCCTTTACACCCCACCCTTGGCGAACCAAAGGCAGAGCCTGGACACTCAACCACCCAGCTTTGGTAAGGAGCGGAAGGTGGGAAAGGCCTACACGCCTCCTCCACTGGGAATGGGTGACTGAGACCCAGGGCTGTGTCTCCCAGTACTTCCTTCAGGTCTCCCTTTGTATGTAAGTGAGCAAGCAGAAGGTACAATTCAGTCAAGGTCAGGGAGGGGAACCCAGTGTCCTGCTTTCTGCCATTCTCCCCTGCCTCCGACCCAAGCTCAGTGCCCTGCTCTGGCAGAAGTGGGACATCTGGAGAGAGAGAGAGAGAAAGAGAGGGGGAGAGAGAGAGAGAGAGAGAGAGAGAGAGAGAGAGTGTGTGTGTGTGTGTGTGTGTGTGTGTGTGTGTGTGTGTGTAGCACGGGGAAGGGAGGGCAGATTCCCAACTACTCTCTCAGTCATGCTGTTCTCTGCCAGGATGTAGCTGTGTTTTGGGAGCTAAATACTGGGAATTTAGGAGGCCCCTGGGCCTCTTCCCTTTACCTCTTATTCCCCTCAAAGGCAGTGGCAGGAGTGCCAGAGGGAGCTCTGGGGGCTGGAGGGACAGATTTTTCTCCTACTCCCACAGCCACCCCCCTCTGGAGGCAGCTCCCGCCCCGAGCCGGCCTGTCATCCCACATTGCTCTGATTAGCTATAATCTTTCTTTTTCAATTTCTCCTCCCCGAGATGAGGGAGCGAGAAAATCTCCCAGAAAATGAATAAATATTTCAATTTTCGGCGCAATCAGTCTGAGGAGCCGGCGCATGATGGAAACGGGGGGAAGGATAATGGTTTTCATTTAGATAAGATACAGAAAATTATTTAGTGAAAAATGAAGATTGATGAAGCCCATTGAAATTCTTTAAAATGCAATTTTTATTTCTCAGCCTAGGCTGAATCTCCCCTTCCCAGCTCCTCTGTTCCCCCTCAATTTTGTTGCTTTCTCTGGCCACCTCCTCCCTTACCCCACAGAAGTAAGGAATGGGGGCCTTGACGAAGCTCCCCCCTCCTTCCCTCGTCACAGCCCCTGCTGAGCTTCCCCTGACACACCGTGGTGATTTCCTCTCCCTCTCTCTTGGCTGTGCTCTATCCAAACACTCTTGCACACTTTCACGAGGCCTCGGTTTCACCCATGTCGATGGCAAGGAAGTTGCACGCTCAGCGCTCCCTAGCCCCTCTGTCCCTTCCAAAGGGTGAAAGGCACATAGCACATTTCTCTCTGACCGTTTCTGTCCCGGATTCAATCCGCATGTCTCTCCTGTTTGCTAACTGCAGCTTTTGTTCCATGTTGCTGACATGTGAGGGTTGCAGGAGGGGCGACATCAGCCTGCCTCCCACACTACCAACACTGACCCACCACCCCTCCCCCTCCCCACTACCCTCCCTCTCTCTCCCTCTCCCCCTTCCCTTCCCCAGCAGCCCTGAGCGGAACAAAGTCAGAAGTTAAGTCATCTTCCCAACTTTCTGCCAAGCAGGGCCTGGCCTGCTTTGGGGCAGGCCTCCTTCATTCCGTCCACACCACCTCCCTCTCACACCACAGATGTGTGCCCTTCCCATATCCTAAGAGTGTCCCAGTAGGAAAGAGAAATCAAAAGCTGCCTGCCCCCATCAACTCAGTGTGGCTTTACCTTCAGAGCTGGGGAGAGGTCCAGAGAAACACCCCACCCCGAACACACACCCACAAACCGGCAAGGGAGTGGAGAGCAGGACAATGCCTGGGGCTCTACCATCCTAGCGGACTTCTCTCTTCCCAGACACCTCCCCCAAAAAAGCCCATCTCCTCCATTTTGTAGACTGTACATCTCCATAGGTATCTGCCTATGTGGATGTCTGTTCAAGTTTCTTTGTTTGCCCGGGGTTGGTGTGTGACGGAGTGTGTCTGTGTGTCCTTGTAAACGCTTGCTTGCATCCATGTCCTGTGTACATGACTTTGGAAGCTGGGGTGTGCAGACTGCGAGGGCACGTTCGGCTTGGGGGAGGAATGTGTCTTCCTGGGATGAGTCTGTTCTTTGTGTAGGTGTCTGTCTCCGCGTGGGGGACGTTTGTGGGTATGTCTATGTCTCAGTAGGTGAGCAGTCTATCTCCACGTCAATGACTGTTTTATGGTGTTTGTGTATCAATTTCTGTGTGTCAGTTTCATTTTTCTGGGAGTGGGAAGGAGGAGCTCAGCAGGATTAAATCTCCCTCGGAGTCAGACCCAGGAGACAGGAACCCACTCCCACAGACGCGGGCCGGGCTGGACCCCTGACCCCTCACGCATGCCCAGGACAGAGGAACGTCCTCAGCCCTATCTACTGCCCCACTCACTTCCCAGTCTCTCCCCGCCGGTTCCAAAAAAGCCCCAGACAGCAACACTTCCCGGCCCCACTTGGGTGCCAATCTCCCTTAAGCGCCCCTCCGTACCGGCGTGGCCTGCAGCTCTATTTAGAACTCCACTGCCCACCAGAGCCCGAACCGCGCCAGGACCCGGGAACCCTGTTCCTCCCGAGGGGGCAGTCCCGGCAGCTGGAGCTGGAGCGTGGCTCTCACTCCGGTCCCCCGGGGGCCCGGCTGAAGTTGGGGATCCCACGGCACATCTTCGGGAGAGCCTCGGTCTCTAGCTTTCCGCGCACCCCTGGCCAAATCTGAAGCCCCACTTTCTCCCCTTCGCGTGGTCCGGGGGGTTCGGATCTCCTCCTCAGAGGCTCCGGGAGAGACGTGGGGCGTCCGGGTCCCTCTTTCACTCCGACCCCGGCCCTGGCGGCCCGAGCGCTCTGCGCTCCCGCGCGGTCGGAGGAAAGTACTTGGGCAGAGGCGCGGCGAACTCCTCGTCCCCCGCGCAGTGTCTCCGCGCCCCCTGCCCGCACTCCGCACGGGCCAGAACCGAGCCCCCGCCTTACCTTGGGAGAAAGTGTCGGAGAGGGCGAGGATCCAGACGAGGAGGCTCAGCATGCTGCCGCCCGCGCCGGGCCCGAGTCGGCGGCGGGAGAGGAGGGAGCGCGCAGGGAGGGACCGGGCCCCCGCCCTGCACGCCCGCCCTGCACGCCCGCCCTGCACACTCGCCCTGCACACTCGCGCTCGCGCGCACAAACTCACTTCCCTCCTCCGCGCCCGCCGCGCTCTTCCCTCCCGGCCTCCTCCTCGGCCCGCCCCCTCCCCGGGCTTTATCTCCGGGGTCTCTTCCGTCTCGGCGCCGCTCCCTCCTCTCCCGCTCCCCTCCCGCCTTGCTCGCGCGCTCTCTCGCTCCCCCTGACGTCCACTCTCCCCCGACGGCGCCTCCCTCCCTCCTCCCCGCCTCCCTCCCCCTGCCCCCCGACGCGCGCGCACACTCGCGCCCCGCGCCGCCCGGAGAGCCGAGGAGGTGCCGAGGGCAAGGGAAGGGCCCCCCACCCACGCACCCACCCTGGGACGCACACCGCCTGGGCCGCGAGCGGTGGGTCCCCGCCGAGGACGCGCGGGGGTCGGCGGGCGGGGACACCACGACCCTCCCGCCCCGAGGACGCTTGCTGGATGGGGAAGGGTGTGAGTGCGTGTGTGCTTGGGTGTGAGTCTGGGAAGGGGGCGGGGAGTTAAAAAGCTTAAAGACCTCTTTAAAAAAAAAAATAACCCACACCAAGGTTATAACCCTAGATTCCCCCCACCCCCACCCCAAATTAAAAATTCCCAACTGGCTAGTGGATGGATATTGGAGGGGGAGGAACATTCATCCCTCTCCCCACCCACAAGACCCGGAGCTGGAGGAGCTTCTGGGACCTGCCTTGAGCCCCGGAGGGGGCCGCGGCCAGCCGCGATGGGGCCGGGCTAGGCGCCGGAGTCCTGAGCGGCCGCGAAGAGGCGCAATCCACTCTTCCCCTGTCCATCTCGGGCATCTCCCTTGCCAGGGACGCGCGGTTCGACGGCTTCGGAGGCCCAGGCCTCTCCTGCCTCCCGCTCCGAAGGCAGCCGGAGAGCGCGCAGCCGGGAGGATCTCTAAGCACGCAGGAGTTGGAGATCCTTTGGGGTCAGAGATGGAGGAACTGGGAAGGGAGGGGATTCCTGGTGAGTGTCCGGAGGGTACTCAGGGGGAGTCTTGACGGGCCCAGTGTGACAACCAGCTCCTGCCCTAACCCCTCACCAGACCCTGTCCCTCGGGCTGTTCTGGATGCCCGGAGGCCTGGGTCCTGGGGGATGAAGCGAGGGAAAATAACAGTTAACGGGATTTACCCAATTTTACCGTAAGGCTGGTCTAGAGAGGTCTCCGCCCCCCCACCCCACCCCACCGTCCCCCAGATTTTAGGTCTCCTGGGTTCCTAAGACTCCCCGCCAAGATTTCTTCATTTCGACCCAGAGCCGAGGCGCATGGCTCTCTGGTGCCTTCTGCTGGTGTGAGATGGTCACAACGCCTCGAGCGAGGATGCTGACGCTAGGCTGAGTGGTCCAGACACATCCACACAGCTAGAGGACACAGAAGCCGGGCAGGAAAACACACGAGCTCAGATTCCGACGCACGGTGTGCACAGACCCAGAGGATCCTCCTTATGTTCGAAAAATATGTACAGGCAAATACATAACTTAAAAATAAAGCCCTACCTAGCCCAGTGATGAAAGAATACTATTCCAAACACACAGACACACACCAACAGACAGACAGACAAGAGCTTTACACTTATTCATTCATTAATCATGCATTCCACAGACATTTCTTCATCGCTGTGTTCCAGTCACTATCTAGGCTGTAAGGATACAACAACTTAAAAAAAGATAAACAAAACTTTCCGTTTTGGTGTTCCATTCTGGAGGGTAGAGAGAGGTCATATATATAAACACCAGGCTATGGTAAATGCTACGGAAGACAAATAAGGCAGGATAGAAAGAACAAGGAGGGAAAGAAGGGAGCAAGGAATTGCTAACCCTGGAAGCGGTCAAGGAAAGCTGTTCTGCTAAAATAACATTGGAGCCCAGACCTGAAGGAACTCAGGAGTTCAGCTACTCAAGCATCACATCTGGGGGTAGAATATAGCAAGTAGGTGGGGACAGCAAATCCAAAGGTCCTGAGGTAGCATTCTGCATGTAACCAGACAGCTTTTCACTCTGACTGGAGGTATCCACAGAGGAGGGACGGGCCAACAGTAATGTGGAAGTTTAAGAAGAAAAAAGTCCATAAGAGAAGAATATTCTTAGCTTGGTGCTTATTGCCTGTCTTTTTGGGCTTCCGTTATGTAGGCCTAAGAGCTATTTTGAGTGTAAGGAAGGGCTGGGCTACTGAAGCTTTTAACTTCCCTTGGGCTTCGTACCTCATCTCTACCTCCTTGCATCAGAGAAGCCAAATGTCTCCAGCTCTCTGACAGCCAATGCAGCAGTCTCACCCTTCTGTCCTGGTCTCTTAGCTTTCTTTTCCCCTGCTTCCTTTAATCCCAAATTTCTCACCCATTCAATGCATCAAACTCACTTCTCCAAAATTCCCTCCACACAAGCTACTCAGCACCCCAGACCTTAGAATTTAAGACCCCATCCCCACTTAGTGATCTTCAGTGCCAGCTCTGCATTAGAATCTCCCAAGGGGCTTTTAAGAAACAGTTCCAAGGCCTGCCCTGCAATGATGAATTGTTCTGGATTGCCGCCCATGCATCAGTATTATTAAACATACCCCCAGGTAATTCAAATAGGCAGCCAGGGATGAGAACTACTGAGCTAAGCAAACCCCTGCTTTCCAGGCATTGCCCTCAGCAAACCTGCACACCACCAGGGAGCTGTCCTCTCCATTCCACCAGCATTTCTTCCACCTATTGCTTGTCCTATATCACCTCCCTCCTTCTGGGGCAACCCCAGTTAAACGTCCCCCACTCTGCTCCATTCTCATCTCTCTGGCACTAATGTTCACAGTTCTGTCTTACTGGATTAAACAAATCTCCCGGAGTTTAATTACATAGCTCTCATCAAAGGCGCACATCCTGGGGCTGAGTCCCCAGTATCCGAGTGAGGAAAGAAGACAAAGCCTGTGCCTTTTTCATCAGACTAAATGTATCTTCCTAGGACAGAATATCTGCTTCCCCTGTTGTGTTAGTCCATTTTTTATCACTGTGACCAAGTACCTGAGAAAAATAAAAGATGAGGAAAGGCTCATTTTGACTCATGGCTCTAGAAGTTTCAGTCCATGGCCAGCTGGCTCCATTGTTTTAGGCCTGTGTTGAGGCAGAAGCATCATGGCCAAAGAGCATGGGACGGGGCCAAAAGACCAGATACAGTCCTCAAGATCATGCCCCATTCTCTTCACTGATGCCCTCCTTTTCAATAACCTTCTAATAATGCCATCAGAGTGTGATCTCTCCAGTGAATTAATCTACTCGAAGAGGTTAGAGTCCTCATGATTCAATCACTTCCCCCAAAAGCCCACCATCTGTCAACCAAACCTTTAGCACATGAGTTTTGGGGGAACATTTCAAATCCAGAGAGTAGCATCTATTAAATTTGGGGCTCCCTGGAGGCAAGGACTATATATATCCCTTTAGTCTAGAGGTCCCTGGGGATAGAAAAGGAATTGGATCAACCCATCCATGAGGTAGCAGCAAGAAACACGGACACTGAAATCAGACAGATAAGATTTAAATCTGGGTTCTGCCCCATACTTGCTGTGTGACATGGGACTGTTGATATATTTAACTTTTCCCATCCAGAATGTATTTGTATGCAAACAGAATTAATTATAATAATTTTTTATGAGGAGCCATGTTTTGGGTATCCACCAGTGGCAGTGATGGAAGACTGTAGAACCTTTAAGAGATGAGGCCTACTGGGAGGTTCTTCAGTCATTCAGGGGCATAAGGTAGTTCTTGTGGGAGTATCCTTGGTAGTTCATAGCACAGGGCTGTTAAGGAAGGAGCATGCTCCCTCTGGCTTCATATTTAAAATGCGATCCCTCACCCCTACAAGACACTTCTGCCATGGTGTGACTTCATCAGCTAGCTACCTTCTCCGGAGGCCAAGCCAACAAGGGCTGCCTGATCTTGAACTTTCACAATTAAGAGCTAAATCCACCTCTTTCTCTTATACAGAATGTTGCTCATGTAGTTAGGTACAGTGACAGGGCTGAGTAATGCGAGGGATTAGGGTGAGGAGCAAGGAAGTCAATATCCATGCAATTCTCAGAGCCGCACTAGGCACACAGCAAGCACTCAGTGATTATTTTTAGTTTTGGAGCTCCCCAAAGAAGGCACCTTCCACATCTTCTTTCTGTGGATTTGTCTCCATCCATGCACAGATCCCTGCCCAGACAGATGTGTGTAGGTGTGGAGGCAGTGGTAGTCATCCCTGAGGATGCTACTCAACCTAAAAAAAAAAAAGAGAGAAGCAGTTAAAGGTTATACATGGAGTTAAGAGAAATATTAATAATTTCTTGAGCACAAAAGCAAAAAGATCAAGAGGTCAGGGAGTAAGCAGGAAGGCAATTTATGACCATCGGCGGGCCACCTTGAGAGACAGAAATGAATTCCTTGTCTCAGTGAGGGCTAAGAACAGCAGAACAGTTCTATAAATTGTCCTCTTTCTCCCTAGAGGAGGTGGAGAATTGTGTCCCTGCTGCTTACCAGAGACAAAGGAGAGAAAGGCCAGGATCTTGATTTTTCAGCCTGAAAAATAATAATGACCCTACAGGAGACCTTGAGGCCCTCAAGGTGAGGGAGAACAGCTGGGTGGGGGCAGACTTTTTCTCCCCCTGCTCCAAAGACTGCAGCCCAAAACATGGGAGATATGCCACTTCTCCAAGATCCTTCTCCTAAAAGCTGGCTTTTCCTCATTCCTTTCCCATTTGAGTATCCTGTAGTCCAGGGTGGCTACATAAGTCCTTTTAGATATCTGAAGCTTCCTGATGCACACCAGTGCACTTTCTCTTGGTCCCCTTTTCCTTAAGATGTCCAGCTTTTGAGGTGTACAAACATAAGGGCAGAGGCAAGGATTGCCTCAATGGCAATGGGGAATGTTCCCTGTGAGGATGGGAGGAAAAACAGCCATCAGTCCAAGAATCCTGGATCACTCCTTAGTGGTCAAGTACCCACGAGCTCGGTACAGCCAGGCCTGTTTTCTCTGTAAAGTATAACTGGCCCTAGCAAAGGAACAAGAAGAGGAATTCTGGGCCCACACACTGGTGCACCTTCATCTCAGATTTTCCAAGGGGGCTTGATATCTTGTCTAGGGCCAGATAGATGGTTACCTGTCCACCCCCTCCCACCTC